GAGTCTAAATCTTAAAATTCTAAACCCTACTGGTGTAAATGGTAACCGCATAATTTCTGCTGAATTGCAAAATTTGCTGAATTGTAGAATTTGTTGAATTTCTGCTGAATTGCAGAATTTACTGAATTTCTACCAAATTGCAGAATTTCTGCTGAATTTGCTGAATAATATGTCAAACTTAAATGGTAATTGCGGAATTTGCAAAATTTACTGAATATGCGGAATTTGCGGAATTGCGCTACCATTTAGACCCATAATTTGAAGAATCTTTTTCTAGAATAAACCAAAAAGAATTATTCTTGTAAAACCCATAAACTGCCAAAAAATTAATTGAGAAACTTTATAATGAGAATTTATTTTGTGTTTAATTATTACAACTTTATTAATTAGTGTAAAGTTTCTTTCAAAGTTTGCCATATAAGAAACTGTTCCATTTTATCACCATCACGCAACCTGCAACATCTCAAACAATTCAACAAAAACATCTAAAAAGTTTTTTTCTTTTTTGCTATCATCTTCTTCTCCAAATGGATTCAGATACAGAGAATCAGAAAGATCCTTGCTTGAACAAAACCCATTTTTTGAAACCTTATGTAACCTCCTCCATTAATGGTCTTGTAGCAGAGCTTCCTCATCGTCGACAAAGTCTCCATCTTTCTTCATCAAAGTTAGAGGTTTATTTGTCTAGGAAGATTTCTTCAACTGGGTTTCGTTTAGCAAATCGTGATTTCAAATCATGGGCTAAAAAAATGGAAGCTTTACACGAACCCACTTGGAGAAAAGCTGGGATCTTTGAAGCAATCAAAGCATCTACTTACAATATCCCTAAAAACCCATCTTTGGTTTTAGCTCTTGTTGAGAAATGGTGTCCTGAAACCAAATCTTTCGTCTTCCCTTGTGGTGAAGCAACGATTACTTTAGAGGATGTAATGGTGCTTTTAAGGTTTTCTGTTTTGGGTTCTCCTGTTTTTGCTCCTCTAGAGAGCTTAGAGATGAGAGATGCAATGACGAAGCTTGAGAGAGGAAGAGTAGAGAATAGGAGTAGAGATGGACGAGTTTGTCATCAATCATGGATTTCGAGTTTCAGAAACATA